TTAAGCCTCCGAATGTAAATCACGTGATGCTGCAACGGTTGTAAGTGTGAAAAAGCGGTCATAAGTCACTTTTTTTCAAGGCCGTTGTAACTTTGAACAGTCAGTAAACAAACTGTTGCGAGTCTACCTATACAGGTGATGGGATGTAGTGAGGAGACGGATCCCCAGGAGGGAGGGGGTGCTTTCCAGGAAGGAGGAAGAGGCAAATCAACCCACATATATTGTGTGTGAGAAAGAGAGTGAGGACAGTGCCTCCTTAATGGTTCCCAGAGTCTATGGTAGATAGAGAAAGTAGATCCTCAATCTGGCAAGATTCTGTCTGTAGGAGTTACAATAAAGGGCTCAGCTTGGAAGAATCGCCCTGGGTCCTTCTTGGTTTTGGTCCTGACCCATAAAGCTTTGGCTTCAGAAGGTCCACCTGGAGGGGAAGACCCACCTGCTCCCTTGTTTTGGGGCAGGCTCTGAAGCACCAGGCTCTAGGCTACCTCTCAACTTCTTTCTCTCTTCCTTCCAGGCATGGTACAAAAACTTGACCAAAAACTTCCAGTCGCCAATGAATACTTGCTGCTTTCCGGAGGGGTCCGAGAAGGCGTGGTGGACCTTGACCTGGACGAACTGAACTTCTACGCTCGTGGCACTGACTATGACATGGACTTCACCCTGCTTGTGCCAGCCCTGAAGCTGCACGACCGAAACCAGCCGGTCACCCTGGACATGCGCCACTCCGCCTTGTGTCATTCCTGGCTGAGCTTGCGGCTCTTTGATGAAGGGACCATCAGCAAGTGGAAGGACTGCTGCACCATCGTGGACCACCTCAACGGGGCCACCAACTACTTCTTCTCCCCCACCCGCGTGGCCGACTGGTTCTACGAGTCCATCAGCGTGGTCCTCTGCGAAATCCAGAAGAAGCCCCAGAGGGGGATGCCCAAGGTGGAGAAGGTGGAGAAGAATGGCACCCTCATCTCCATCATTTTAGGGGTGGGCAGCAGCCGCATGCTGTACGACATCGTGCCGGTGGTGTCCTTCAAGGGCTGGCCGGCCGTGGCCCAGAGCTGGCTGATGGAGAACCACTTCTGGGACGGGAAGATCACGGAGGAGGAGGTCATCAGTGGCTTCTACCTGGTCCCGGCTTGCTCCTACAAGGGCCGGAAGGACAACGAGTGGCGCCTCTCCTTTGCCCGCAGCGAGGTGCAGCTGAAGAAGTGCATCTCCACCAGCCTCATGCAGGCCTACCAGGCCTGCAAGGCCATCATCATCAAGCTGCTCTCGCGCCCCAAGGCCATCAGCCCCTACCACCTGCGCAGTGTCATGCTCTGGGCCTGCGACCGGCTGCCCGCCAGCTACCTGCTGCAGGAGGATTACGCTGCCCACTTCCTGCTGGGCCTGATCGACGACCTGCAGCACTGCCTGGTGAACAAGACCTGCCCCAACTACTTCATCCCCCAGTGCAACATGCTGGAGCACCTCTCCGAGGAGACGGTCATGCTCCACGCGCGGAAGCTCTCCTCCGTGCGCTCCGACCCGGCCGAGCACCTCCAGATGGCCATCGAGCACGTCAAGGCCGCCAACCGGCTGACGCTGGAGCTCCAGCGGAGGGGCAGCGCCACCAGCATCCCCTCCCCCCAGTCGGACGGAGGGGACCCCAACCAGCCCGACGACCGGCTGGCCAAAAAGCTGCAGCAGCTGGTGACTGAGAACCCGGGAAAGTCCATTTCGGTCTTCATCAACCCCGACGACGTCACGCGGCCCCACTTCAGAATTGACGACAAATTCTTCTGAGACTCCCTCTGTCCCCCCACGGCCTCCTGCCCCACCTCAAGACTGTGGGACCCCTTCGCTCACCCGGGTTTTCCTGGGTCCGTTGTCAACATATCAGGCTGAGGGGGGCCTGCAGGAGAGGGTGGGGTTCTGGGCATGGATTGGCTGCTACTCTGACTTGGAGGCCGGCCAGTCCAGCCTTCTCCCGGACCACCGTGACTGTCTGCACATCTGGCGGCCTCCTTCAGCAAGAATCCCCCTCTACCTTTAGCACATCCCTTTCTCTGGTGGGCTGGGTCCTCTTCGTATAATTGGCTTCCTCCCCCCTTCCCCCCCCCCTGCTTTCGGAGGGTGACTGTGGGAAACGCCCGGCGGAAGGGTGAGCCACTTCCTGCTGCTGGGCCAGTTGGCCCGTCTGTTCCCGGGGCTCCCCCAGGGGGACCAAAACGAGGCCAGGAGCGACGATCCCAGCGACGCCTCTGGACTGAGGGCATTTTCTTCCGCTGATCTCCTGTTCTTGAATGTAATTGATCTGCATCAGGGCTGGGCAGAACCTGGAGGCTCTTTCTGCCGAGGGTCCTGCAAGGGAGACCCCAGGACAGTCGGTCTGAGCGCCTGTCCTTGGTCAAAGCCTTCCTTCCAAGCGATTAAAGGACGGGCCGTGAGAACGGTCCCTGCGCACTCGGCCCTGGCCTGGCCTGCTGTGGCTTTTTCTTCCTCTCTGTCCCTCTCTCTCACACACACACATCCATCCAACTGTCTGTCTGTCTGTCTATCATCATCATCTATCTATCCATCTATTTATTTTTGTTGGTCTTACCATTATCTATCTATCTATCTATCTATCTATCTATCTATCTATCTATCTATCTATCTATCTATCTATCTATCTCCATCTATCTATCTCCATCTATCCATCTCTGTCTGTCTGTCTGTCTGTCTACCTATCTACCTATCTACCTATCTATCTATCTATCTACCTATCTACCTATCTACCTATCTACCTATCTATCTATCTATCTATCTATCTATCTATCTATCTATCTATCTATCTATCTATCTATCTATCTATCTTTATATTCTGCCTTTACTATTTTTATAAGTAACTCAAGTGGTGAGCATACATAATACTCCTTCTCCTTTTCATATTTTCCCCAAAACAACGACCCTGTGAGGTGGGTTGGGAGAGAGTGATTGGCCCAAAGTAGCCCAGCTGATTTTCATACCTAAGGTGACAATAGGACTCACCGTCTCCCGGTGATTGGCCCAAAGTCACCCAGCTGACTTTCGTGCCTGAGGCAGGACTAGAACTCCCTGTCGCCTGGTGATTGGCCCAAAGTCCCCCAGCCAGGTTTCATGCCTAAGGCGGGACTAGAACTCTCCGTCTCCATCTTTCTAGCCTGGTGCCTTAACCAGCAGACCAAACTGGCTGTCATTAAAGGGGATTTTCGGTGCTGGGGCCACATTGGGCAGGCCTCTCTGGCCTTGTGTGGATGAGCCTGGCAGAGCCAACCCAGGTCCTGCCATCCTTCCAGGCAGGACGGTAGAGCTGGCAGGCATCCAACAGGGCAGCTCTGAAGTTGCCAAGGAGAGGAAGGGTCCGGTGGGGAGAGGGGCTCCAAGGCCAGAATCTGGGAAGGGGGGGGCTTCAGTCTTGGGTGGTTTCCTGAGCACCGAAGGTGGGTGTTCTCCTTCCTGGTGGGTCCCTTGGGGCCTTCTCTTGATTGCACCCCGGCCCTCGCCTCCCTTTCACTCAGGCCATCCTCTGACCGCTTCTGACCTGCTGGGACCCCAGGCACTTCGGGGGGGGGGTTGGCTTGCCCCATTTCTGGGAGGGACCTGTGGGGCTTTGCAGGGCTGCCCCCTTCTCTGAAGCCCTGAGGAATCTGCCTGCTCGCCTTCTCGAGGGGCTGGTCTGGCTCAAGGGGGACTGGGCAGTTGGCCGACCAGGAGCCCTGGGAGCCCAGCCATGGTCTGAGCAGGACAGGTGAGCCAGCCACCCTCTTCAATCAGGTTTGTGCTAGATCAGGGGTCAGATCAGGAATAGAGTAGAGTAGAGTAGACTAGACTAGACTAGATTAGAGGACTTCAACTCGCAGAATTCCTGAGCCAGCCATGCTGAGGGGAAAGGGAGAGGTTTCCACACTGAGCCAGGCTGGCTGAGGAATTCTGGGAGTTGAAGTCCGCCAGTCATGAAGGGGCCATAGTTCCCCCACGCTGGCTGAGGAATTCTGGGAGTTGAAGTCCGCCAGTCATGAAGGGGCCATAGTTCCCCCATGCTGGCTGAGGAATTCTGGGAGTTGAAGTCCAGAAGTCATGAAGGGGCCATAGTTCCCCCATACTGGCTGAGGAATTCTGGGAGTTGAAGTCCAGGAGTCATAAAAGAGCCAAGGTTGCTGACCTCTGTGCTAGATGTATTCTAGATGGGCAAGATCAGGGGTCCCCAAACTTGGCAGCTTTTAAGATCTGTGGACTTCAACTCCCAGGATCCCTCAGCCTGCATGGCTGGCTGAGGAATTCTGGGAATTGAAGTCCACGGATCTTCAAAACTGCCGAGTTCGGAGACCCCTGGACTGGGATGGTCCCAAAGAAACGGTGAATTGTCCTCACGGTCAGGAAGTTTCTCCTTAATTAGGTTCGAGTAGTGCGAATGTGGGTTAGACAATTCTTTGCTTTGTGTAGAGAAGCTACCTGGATTGCTAGCTCAATTGATGGTTGGGTGTTTTCCAGAAAAATCAGCAGCCCATTCAGACACATCCCTCAAGAGAGACCAAGAATCTGGGTTCACACATTCTGGTACACCATCATCTGCTTACGGATGGGTCTGCTGGATGGCAGCACCAGGGTGTTCCATGCCACTAGAGGGCACCCAGGGACCGTCGAATAGCAAAAGCCGGTCAAACGTCAAAAGGCCAGATGGTGGCGTTTGGGCTAAGGGCCCCTGGGGCAATTAACATTATGTCGTTATTTAATTAACGGGGAAAGGAGCCAAAGGGAACTTTTGTCTCGTCCGAAGGAATGAAAATACGTAAGGAAGCATGCAGAACAAAGTTGGATAGACAAATGATCCTTAGAAGGACCAAAGAAGCCTAAGGTGAGTGTTTTGGAACTAGGAAATTAATTCATTCTAAAGTATATAAAGTAGTCCTTGATCTACAACAGTTCATTTAGTGACCGAAGTTATAACCGCACTGAAAAAAGTGGTTTATGAGTTGGGGGTTGGACTAGAAGACCTCCAAGGTCCTTTCCAACTCTGTTATTCTAGTCTAGTCTAGTCTATAACATTTATTCTATTCTATATTCTATTCCATTCTATTCCTTTTTTCTATTCCTATTCTGTTCTGCTCTGCTCTATTCTATTCTGTTCTATTCTATTCTATTCTATTCTATTCTATTCTATTCTATTCTATTCTATTCTATTCTATTCTATTCCTTTTTTCTATTTCTATTCTATTCTGCTCCTATTCTATTCTATTCTATTCTATTCTATTCTATTCTATTCTATCTGTAATTCTATTCTGTTCTATTCTGTATTTCTATTCTATATTTCTATTCTGTATTTCCTATTCCTATTCCTATTCTATTCTATTCTATTCTATTCTATTCTATTCTATTCTATTCTATTCTGTATTCCTATTCTATTCTGTTTTCTTCTACTCTACTCTATTTTCTATTCCAGTCATTCCATATTCTATTCTATTCTATTCTATTCTATTCTATTCTATTCTATTCTATTCTATTCTATTCTATTCTATTCTTTTCCATTGACTTTTTCACATTTAATGACCATTGCAGCATCCCCATGATGCCATGGTGAGTATCCGGATGCTCGGCAACTGACTCATATTTATGACCGTCGCAGTGTCCGGGGGGGTCACGTGATTTCCCTTTTGCGACCTGACAAGCAAAGTCAATGGGGAAGCCAGATTCATTTAACAACCAGGTTACTAACAACTACTATAGCAACTCACTTAACAACTGTGGCAAAAAGGTCGTAAAAAGGGGCAAAGCTCACTTCCCTGCTTAGCAACAGAAATTCTGGGCTAAGCTGTGGTAAGTCGAGGTCTGCCTGTAGTCTTGATTTTGTCAATCTCCTTCCATCTCTGCCCCCCCTCTCCGGTTTCTTTTGTGAGTTTTGTAATGTTCAAGAGTGACCACATGTTTCTCCCTTCTCACTCTGGGCCAGGGGTAGGCAACCTTGGCCCCTTCATGACTTCTGGACTTCAACTCCCAGAATTCCTCAGCCGGCATGGGGGAACTATGGTCCCTTCATGACTTCTGGACTTCAACTCCCAGAATTCCTCAGCCAGCATGGGGGAATTATGGCCCCTTCATGACTCGTGGACTTCAACTCCCAGAATTCCTCAGCCAGCCATGCTGAGGGGAAAGGGAAAAGTTTCCAAGCTGAGTTATGCTGGCTCAGGAATTCTGGGAGTTGAAGTCCATGAGTCATGAAGGAGCCAAGGTTGCCTACCCCTGCTCTGGGCACTGACTGAGCCTGACCCGGTGAAGTGACCTGGTTCACATGCTCGGGTGAAACACTCCACTTAGTTTAATTTAATTTAATTTAATTTAATTGGGTGGCTCACCCTGTAAACAAGAGATTAAATGCACTGACGGTTGAAAACTGAACTGACAAAAAACAGATTAAAAGCAAAATGAATAACCTGACCAACAGCAAAACACACACACACACACACACTGGCCTCCAGCCCACCCCCTCCCCAACACAAGCCTTAGGAGAAGGGTGTCAATCAGGATCGTGATGAAACTAAGGGGGGGGGGGCTTGAAGATTTATCCGTGACTCCTCAGGTCATTAAAACTGGGGTTAATGAAGCTAAATCTCCCTCCTGGGGTTCAGACAAGCTGCTCCCCGCATCTGAGTGTGGGCTGCTGGGTTGTGTGAACCCATCAACGAACAGAAACAAGAATCTGAAGGGGCCACAGAGAGAGAGGTCTTTCTGTATTTATTTGCAACTGCCATCCCAGACTTATAACCGCAATTGGGCCCAACATTTCT